CGCTTTTCTGGCAAAAAGCCCCGATCGGGGCTTTTTTAGAGAAAAGACTACTGTGCTGTCTGCACTGGCCCTTTTCCGGAACAGTTTTTCCAGAAAAGGACTTTTGTCCGAACGGGAGCAGCATAGTTTTTCCGGAAAAACACTGACAATTTTACAGTAGATCGTCATTGCTTTTCCGGAAAAGCAAGCGGCCAGTGTAGAGAGCTCGCAGCTTATTCCAGAAAAGCGGCTGCTTTCCTGGAATAAGTGGCCCAGTGTAGACACAGCCAATGTGTGTGAAGTGATATTCCATTTCACTACTTCCTTCACATTTGTGATTTTAGATTGCAGTATCGGTTATGGTAAGTTTTCAGAAATCAAGAGTCTGACCCCTAAAACTACAGGATTGGGGTTAAAATAACTTGTAAATAAACAAAATGTTTTAAAAAATCTTTTGATTTCTGGTTTTTGAGCCTTTTAGGGTATAATCAGTTCACATTCACAGACTTTTCTCTGCAAACATGAAAGCTTATATATATGGTAATTAAGTGATATATCACTTTAAGTATCAGAGGGGTAGCCGTGTTAGTCTGGATCTGCAAAAGTGACAAGGAGTCCTGTAGCACCTTATAGTCTAACAGATGTATTGCAGCATAAGCTTTCGTGGGCAAAGACCCACTTCTCAGATACATGTAGTGGAAATTTCCAGAGGCAGGTATAAATATGCAGGTAAGAATCAGGCTAGAGATAATGAGGTAAATTCAATCAGGGAGGATGAGGCCCACTTCTAGCAGCTGACCTGGAGGTCTGAACACCAAGAGAGGAGAAACTGCTTTTGTAATAGGCTATAGCCATTCACAGTCTTTGTTTAATCATGAGCTGATGGTGTCAAATTTGCAGATGAACTGCAGCTCAGAAGTTTCTCTGTGAAGTCTGGTCCTGAAGTTTTTTTGCTGCAAGATGGCTACCTTTAAATCTGCTATTATGTGTCCAGGGAGATTGAAGTGTTCTCCTACAGGTTTTTGTATATTGCCATTCCTAATATCTGATTTGTGGTAGGGATTGTCCAATTTGGCCAATGTATATAGCAAAGGGGCATTGCTGGCACATGATGGCGTATATTACATTTGTCAAATTTGCAGATTACCCGCGTATGTTTATAACCCACAGGGACTTCTACAGCAGCCCTGGGCAGCAGCGCGTAGACAGCAGACACAAGGCGACAGCCATCCTGCTGTCAGTGAGCCAGACGGACTGCGAGAGGGAGACACACTCATGCCCAGGCCCACCCCGTGCAGCCAGGCGTCACCCACCCTCCTCCGGGCGGGGAGAATGGAGAGCGTGCGCGGACACGCTGGAAGCTCGTCAGGCCCTCTCTGCAGCAGAGCTAATCCTGTTCTCATGGCGGGCGAGCAGAGACGCTTAGGGGAACTGATGCTCCTGGAGTAAAAATCAATTTATATAAGACGCAGACATGTATACCCCATGGAGGGAGGGGACGCATGGTTTGTAAAAACATATATAACCCATGGGTTATATTTGCTAATTCATGGTAATTAGCAAACACCCAGACCTAAATATACCCACGTGGTTTCTTCATATTGATGACTGTTCTATAAAGAGTCAAGCCACAACAGAGGGCAACTACTTATTTTGTTGTTTTGTTTTGTTTACATGAGAAGTGAGATTCTCACACCATCACTTGTATCCAGAGCTGCAGCTTTAAGAAGAACACTAAATATGTGGAAAGAGTAGCCATAAAATAGTGAGAGTTGGTATTGCATACTGCACAGAACTCCACAGATACAGGACAGAAGAGTTTGAAAGAGTCACCAGTAAGCCAGTCTGTGTGCATGTGCCTGGAATGTTAGCTACTATTGTAGCACCGCTGTAAATAGTTCTTGTAATAAAGTCAGATTATTTTAGAAACATGGTGATCTCTCAAGTTATTTACATAGTATATGTAATGGGTAGTACTGATATTAAGCCCATCAAAGCAAGGATTTTTTTCCCGTGTTTGTACAGCATTCAGCACATTGGAGCGCTAATCCTTATTGGGTCCTGTGAGCATTACCACATTAAGCATTACTAGTAAATGATTTAGAATTAGGGTTGCCAGGTGTCCGGTTTTCTACCCGACAGTCTGGTTTTTGGCCCTCTGTCCGGTAAAAAAAATCCAGAAAACACTGGATATGTGCAATGTCCGGTATTTCCTGGTTTTCTGGCTGGACGCTGGACAGAAGCCTGGCGGGGGCAGGAGTGACTGGGAGGCGGGGCATGATCGGCACTGGGAGCCTCTGGTTGCAAGTTGCAGATGAGGAGGAGGGGCATCCCGGTCCATGCTCCTGCGCGCTGGTCAAGCGTGTGGTGGAGCCGCAGCCGGACTGACTCGTGTGTGACGGGAGCGCTCTAGGATCTGCACAGCCCGGGTCAGTCCTGCTCCACGCTGGCTGATTTGCTCCCCTGCCCCCTCCGCCAGCTCTGAGTCTCGCTGGCCAGTTCCTGCTCTGGATTTTCCCCGGCCAGCCCCGCTGTACTCCCTGCGAGCCCTGCTTCTGGCGGCCAGTTCTCCCCTCCTCCTGAGCTCCCCCGGTCAGTTCTGCCCTCCCTGGCCACCCCCGCAAATATCCCACAGCCAGCCCTGTTCCGCCCGACCCCCCCCCA